GAAATGTGCCTCCATAGTTTTGTCGGGGACGATTTTAATACACTTTTTTGACATATTAAAAAATTATTTTAAAAATAAAATGAACAACAGATTTTAATAAGCTTTCTAATTTATAATCTGTAAAAATAGACATTTTTAATAAGAGCATTTCCAGAGTCTTACAGTTTTAAATTTAATTTTAAAATAATTGTCAATTTTATCACTTTTTTTATTTATAACTTAAAAAAAGAAAACAATTCTTGTAAAAATTCTTTTTTTAACCTAAAAAAAAAATTTGGCTTCAGACAAAAAAGTCCTTAACATATATTATTGATAAAAGCCATTAAAAGCTGTTTTCATTAAATAATATCATAGTTTTCTTGAGTTTTGTATTTTAAATTCAGACCTAAAGTTTGGGTGCTTGAGTGTAGAATTTTACACGAAATTGATGATTTATATTTTTCAAAATCTTCATTTAATTAAAAATTACAGAGTTACTAGTTTTAAAGTTTTCATGATTTTAAGTAAGGGGGGGTATCAGACGTAAAAAAATATTTTACCATGACTTTCTAAAAATCAAACATTTCTAAAATAAATTAATTCATATTTGAATAAGTTCTGAAAGTTTCATTACATTCCGACAATTATTTGATTTTTGCAAGAATTTCCACATTAATGTGTTTTCAACTGAAAAAAAAATAATGCTAAATATTAGGTGACTGAAAAAAAAAAACAAGATTTTCAACCAAAATTTCAAACGTGTTAAAAAGGAATAAAAAATTAAAAAAATACTTTGGTCTCTTCTCTTATTAATAACATAAACTTTTTCGCGATAAAATTTTGTTTTATTAAGTTTGGGGCCTTTTTCATCAGGGTATGTCATTTTTTAGCGAAAAAGTGGACATAGCAGCCAATAACTTACTAAATAGCTTCCAACCCTTATTGCTAAGTAGTAGTTTGGGACAAAATTGATTAATAATAAAAGAAAAATTAAAAGTTATGCAATAAAAATACTTCAAAATACAGATGAGTATAGTAATTAATAATAAAGAAAGAAAAAATTAAATTTTAAAAAATCAGGTAAATATACTCCCATAATGCATCAGAACAAGCCTTTATCACCAATTGAAACAAAAATCAATATTTTCTCTCGCTTTGTTTTCGACAGCTAAAGGAAGCAGACGTCGGTAGTTCTATGATAGAACATGTTGCTGCCAAGAGATAAGCACAAACATTTTATCTCTGTATCCGTATATGCTCTTTAAAATATACAATCATTTCTCTGAAATGTATACTAAAGCATTTTATCGTTTCGGTCTATGCTTCTTGTGTACGATTTGTTTCTAATTTTTATAATTCCTTTGTAGGCTGATGATATCTTTTTAACCCCCAAACAAAATTAACATATATTAAAAAAAGAAATACATTTAGACAAAGACAACACATCACCAAACAACCCACGACAAATTCACCTAGACTTAATCAACTAGCATATATGCTTACTTATGTAGTAACTCAATTATTGTTGTTTATTAAACCCGATTTTTGTTACCAAAATGCTTTGATACTAACTGAATTATGTAATCGTTTCAACAACTATATTGGTAAAATGATCTATCTTCTGATTGCTTTTCAGTCATAGCACACTTAAATATGATTATGTTATAAGTGAAATTGTGGGACGGAGCACTTACAAGGAACAGTACGCCTTTGTCTACAGGTAATTCTTTTTCCTATAAAAATACGAGCGCCTGCTTACAACCACGCGCACACATGCGCGCGTGTCTCCCCTATTATTACACAATGGACGAAAACAGAGCAGCGTAGGAAACAAATCACACTGTCAAGATTTTTAGTGTTTCTGAAATGAGAGCAATTGTTATAAACTGCCCAGATTTTTTTACCATAACAAAGCAGTTCTTTATCATTGTGTGATTTTTCTTGGCGCGAAATCTTATATATATAAAGTTCAGTGTATGTGTTTGTGCGTGTGTGTGTGTGTCCCAGCAACTCTTCCGCCCCCACTGGTCCGATTTCAATGATTCATAGCTTATTCAAAAGCCCTAGAAAAGTTAGGCGCATGGATCGATTTTCGTTCAGCTCAGATTCAGGATTTCCAGATTATGCGAGGTATATTAATATATATTAATATATTATACTATCCATTATTGTAGCTTTCATGGTTCAAGTAGAGTAACTATTATTTTCCTTTTGTATCCAAAATTGCAGTGCACGTTTTATTATAAACTAGCTTAAAAGCCGCCACAGTGGACGACATTTAAGCTAGCTCCTGTGGACTCCTGGCTAGGCCATCATCACAATAGCTGGGGAAGAGTAGATGCGATAGGCATCAATAAACTACAGAAGAACTCAAAATTGATCGCTGCATTTAAATATAACTTTTAAAAGTTCAACGGCAATTCCTCCGCTTAAAGACGATTTGATGTACATAGATCCTTATTTTCCGTTAAAACAATTATTTTTATTTCATGGATGACAGAACAGGGGACAATTTATATGATAAAATTAATATAGTGTAAAGATGGGAAAATAGAATTAGTTATACATTTAACATTTGAAGATTTAGAGCAGTGGTTTTCAACCTTTTTGCTGGAGCGGAACCACAAGGAAATATTCCAGTGGCTCGAGGAGCCCCTGCAATAAAAAATCATAGAAAATCATAGTACTTGTATAACTTCTTGCGGAACCCCTGGGCTTTACTTGTAGAACGCTAGGGTTCCGTGGAACCCTGGTTGAAAACCACTGATTTAGAGAAACATAATAGCTAATCAAGTAAAACCGATATTATGGAAATTATATGAATAAATGCGAAATTGGAACTCAATTCTCCTACGAATTCTGAGATTAAAAAAACCCAGCTCTATTTTATATTAATTTACGCATAAAAAGATCAATATCTGTATTATATATTATCTACTTCTAGTCAATATCCTTCTTCAGGTTTAACTAATTTGCATATTGATTTTAAAAAAAGTTTATTTCATTAATTAATTGTCCTTCGTTACTGTTCTTTTATTCAAGGATTGTTTTGATTTTCATATAAAAAATATTTTTGGTTAGGAATATCGTCTTATATAGTGCAGAAAAATGTTTGAAAATTTGCATTTTACTTGTCTTTCAACAAGTTGGCATCTATTTGTAAAATTTTCCTTAACTACAACGAGCTAATTTATGAATGAAATGTTCATTTAAAATTTTTGTTTCAAAGATTTTAAGTAGTTAATATATCTTCTATTGCGAAGCGATAGCGAGCTGGCGAACCCTGCTAGTATTTAATAAACATGTCTCATATAATGTATCCATTTAAAACTTATTGATTCATGTTTGAATAACTGAACATGGATATTTTGGATATAAGATATAATAGAGGCTACGCTAATTTAACAAGAAATTATTGCATATTTACAATGAATTCTTTCATTAATCATTAGCAATTAATTATAGCATTAATGAACAATAAAACCTCAAAGATAATCCAATCTCGGGCTCACATTCTCTTCTGATAAGAAGTGGAGAGACTATATTGAATCCATTGCTAAGTCAGATGCTAAAAATCGGTACACTATGTCGAGCGAGACAATTTTTCTCTTCAGAATCTATCTTACATATCTATAAGTCTACCGTTCGTCCATGCTTAGAATATTGCTGCCACATATGGTTCCGTCTGTCTGCTATTTACCTTGATAAGATCCAAAGAAGAATCTGCAATATTATTGATCCTGATCTGGCGGCTCAGCTCCAGTCACTTTCCCACTGCCGTAAGGTTGTCTCTCTATGTCTTCTATAAATACTCTCATGGTAATTGTTCGAATGAGATCTTCGCTATGGTAGCCAGTTAACTTAGCTAGGAGATGTATGCTCATTGGCCCCTTTTATTCCTGTCCTTATTTTTCTTTAGTTTAATTCCCCATCCCCTGCTTCGTTAGGTGGTCAGTGATGTCAGTTCTCTGGTGGATGCGGCCGTCTTTCGTTTGGGGTGTGATTTTCGTATTTGTTGTTGTGTTTGAGTGAGTGCATGGGATGAATGAATGCTTTATATTATTAAAGTCCCACATTGATTTCGTCCAGTTAACTGATGTTTCTGCCACATCTAAGGATTGGGGGGTTTATTATTAACATTATTTTGTTTCTTGTAAATATTTTTGTTCATTGGGGCTAGTTTTTAAATTGTTGTTTTTATTCCCCCCCACCACCAGACAATGAAATGTACATATGGGGACTAGTTAGGATTTTCATAGAGACATGAGGTATTATGGTGTATATAGTAAGAAAGATAAGTAAGAATGTGTTGTTTTGATGGCAGGAATATTGTGGTATGTTTGGGTCAGTGTTTGTGGTGAGCTAAGTTTAAAGTTAAGACAGATGAAGACCGTCCTTTTCCCCTTTCCCCATTTTGGCCTTGTGCCACATTTTGTATATATTTACAAATAAATATCGCTCTTCGCTATGGTACCTAGACATTTTGAATTTAAGCGCAATACTAGACTGGCGTCGAGATCTCATCAATTTATAGTTGAGCTGTAAATTCTATGCTAACAATTTCTTCTCCCGTAAATTCTATGCTAACAGTTTCTTTTCTCGCACTTCTCGCTTGTAGAACTCCCTTCTAGCTCCATGCTTTCCAGCCAAATAACTGAAAAAAAATGCAATGTCAATCGCTATCTACTGTCCACCTGATTACTCTTTTCTCTTTCTGCTCATCATTAATGTTTCCGTTCCTAATTCTTCCACACCCTGTAACCCCCCACCTTTTTTTTAGTGACATTAATGCGTTGCTTGGGGTGATTCCGATTAAAAGAATCAAACCAAAGCTATTATTATTCAGTTCACAACAGAAAATAAAACGGAATAAAGAAGACTATGTTATGAACATTGGGCAACAAATGAAATGGTCAAATAGATTTACGCAAACCATCGATTGTTCTTACATTTTAGTTGATATAAAATTATTTATATTTGAAAATATTTCAGTGTCAAAAATTGAATGCATAACTTATTTAATGACATATTTCAGAACTAAAGAAAAGATCAGTGTCGTAACGAACTACACCTACGACGATGGAAAAGAAGAAATTCAAAATGACCTCTTCTCTAGAGAACCATTTGTAGTACTGTTCAACATTCCATGCACAGGTAGGTGTTCATTTTATGAAACAAAACATCTCATAATAATTGTTCTTGTTCCTCCTTTCGTTAGTTTGCATGGTCGTTACAACGTCTTAAATAATAGACTACTGCGTTTTGGTTGCATGGAAACGATGGAAAGACACTGATTGGTTTTAGTGAAAAAAAAAAAAAAAAAAAAGGGAAAGAAAGAAAGAAGTAAGAAGAGAGAATCAGATTAAATTGATAAGAACAGATACTACAGTTTGATCTTAGCCAAAAGGCCGTTTATTTACTTGACTCCCCCACTGAGTCAGGTTGTGACACAAGATCGGTTTTTAACGTGGGGACCCGAGTGTTTTCACTCGGGCCGCTGGTCCAAGCTGGTCTTAGCTGGTCATAGCTTGTCCAAGCTGGTCAGAGCTGGTCTAAGCTAGTCATAGCTGGTCTTGGCTTGTCCTAGCTGGTCCAAACCCGAGCCGGTCCAAGCTAGGCGTAGCCGTAATCGAATCTTAGTCAAAAGGCCGAGAAGCGATTGTCTTTTTTCTTGTCACCTAACGCTGGCAGGATGCGACGCAAGGCCAGTTTAATGTGGAGGAGGGAGAATGTCCGTGCACCTCGGCCAGGTCGCAAAATAGACATCCCCCACCCACGAAACGTAGGTTACGCTTGTATCGATATTACTACCTATCCTCCCTCTTAAGTACAATGAGGGAGGTACTGCTGCTTTCCTGGGATGTTTCCTGGGATTGGGCACCGCTCAATAATATTTTCAGTAGCGCTCTGTTCACATGCAGAGACACAACTGAGTTGCACTCTGTTCGAGGGCAGAGGCACAACTGAGAGATAAAACTTAGTTTATTCGCCCGAGGGCAGATACTACACTTTGATCCAAGCCAAAAGGTTGTTTAACGATGGCGATGGCAACTGCGATAAAAGCGGCATTTTACAGATGCACAGCATCAAACGACGGAAACCGAGTAAGGCAATCGCCCAAAATCCAGTTACTATAAATAAAATAATATCGTCTGTTGAATTATTTTAAAATTATTATTAAGAGAAATGTTTGCAAGACGCGGTTTGGGATAGAAAGAAAGAAAGAAAGAAAGAAAGAAAGAAAGAAAGAAAGAAAGAAAGAAAGAAGGGTTTAACGTCTCTTGCCAATAGCTCATATAATGGACTATCCCGTTTTGATCTCGTAGAAAAACAAAAAGCATACATTACTTGATTTCAGTGAGAAAATAACTGAAAGGAAGGAAGAAAGAAAGAAAGAAAGAAAGAAGAAGGGAAGATAGAAGTTTTTAATGGCTTTTTTTTTTCATTTGCACCCACTTTTTATAATAGCGTTCAGCATTCATACTGAAGATTGTTATTGCAATATTTTGTTAAAGTTGTTAAGCTCAATTATTTAACGATGGGAATTTCTACGGATATTTTATTGTCATAGAACTTGCCATGAGCTTATTCAATCATTGATTGAAGAATCAAGATTCATCAAAAAATTAAAAAAGGAAAACCGTGAAAGTCTTACAGGTCTTTCTAGTTATTAAATTAATGTGTACAAATCAAAAGGTACTTTTTATAACGAGTTGAAAACAACGGCAAAATAAACTCGTCTTTTGTAAATGAAAACACTGAAATATAATAATATAAGAAAAATATGAACAAATAAAAAAAAAATAGTACTCATTATTTAAAAAAAAGTTCTTTCATTTGTATATTCTTTAAATTTGGTTTTTATGTTTTTTTTTGTCATGTAAGGGAAGCAATTTGTACATATGCACTTTAAAGGGAAATAAGTATGCTATGACACGCGCAAACAATTATTAGATCGATTTTGATTCAGCAGGTTTGAAACAATTTGCGTTCACTGCATTACAAATTATTTAATTAACAATGAAACTTATACACACGCACACACACACGCATATATATATATATATATATATATATATATATATATATATATATATATTTGTGAAAATATATAGAAAATAAGAAAGAACTGGTTCGGTAGATCCAAAGTTCCTTAGTATTTTAGTTATTATTTTAAAAAATAGTGCTCGATACAAATGTAGAGTATAAATATAATTGTTTATTTAAAAATATGATTCAACTCTGACATAAGAGGTCTCATGTTTCAAAACAAGAGCCGAAAACTTCAATATAATTATTTGAATTAAATTGAGTTAAAAAGCTCTGTTCCATCTTCAAGCGAAATATTTGAATAATTTATTTCAGAAATTTTTTTTGGAATAACTTATTTCAGAAATTTCTGAAATAAGTTATTCAAAAAAAATTTTTGCTTGAAGATGGAACAGAGCTTTTAACTCAATTTAATTCAAATAATTATATTGAAGTTTTCGGCTCTTAGGAAAAAAAACATGCGACCTCTTATGTCGCGAGTTGGAATCATATTTTAAATAAATAATTATATATATATATATATATATATATATATATATATATATATATATATATATATATAGTGCAATTTATAATACTAAAGAATAATTTCCCTAGATATTGAAATTTTGATAACAAATATTAACATCAATATATTGAGTCTTGAAACTAAATGTACACACACCCATACACACACAGGCACATAGACGCACACACATAAAGAGAGAGAGAGAGAGAGTTTGCATATGTGAAAGCGAAATGTGTGTGTGTATTTGAGAGAGAGTATATATGCATGAAAGAACGATTACGTGTATGCGTGATAGATAGCGGGTGACAGAGACAAATACAGATAGAGAGGGTAGTAACAGTTATTGTTTAAATATTTGGTGCTTTATGATTGAATAGAGAGATTTCTGGATACATTATCATCCAAATGAGATATATCGGCGGATTTTACATCAACATAACTGTTATCATGATTTATCAAAAACTACAGAGAGTAAAGATATTTTACGTCACCACTTATTACACAGCATGTAATCCAGTATAATGCTCATTCGCCTTTACTTCTCACAACGTTTATCAAAATTATTTTTATATGATTTTCTTTATACTGTCGTCTGAATGCTTTCAAATCTCTCTGATTTCTAATTTCTCCAATCTCGTTGAAAGACTCTTCATGCCTCTTCCAGGCAAATCAACATTAATGAGCACAACTTTAATACTTTACCATTTTTTTTATCAGTTCTTTAACTAAGTCCAGACGATTTTTCCAGCTTTTCATTTTCTTTCAATTTTGCTTTTTGGTCTGCTGGAACAACAGCATCTCCCACTTGATAGATTATTTTTCTTTCCTTCCTCTGACTTAATCTGGTCCTTGAGTTTAAAAATCTTTTTGATGTTTTTATTCTATAAGACAGTTTCTGGGTGGTGCATATACCTTGTCTCAGGTCTAAATATCAAGACATTTTACAAACAGTAATGTCAGATGTTTATTTACAAATATATTATTATTTAAGGTATTTCATGACATTATTGTTAATACCATGCCTTCTCATGGCGGAGGCGATCATGACTACACAATTTCCCTTTCTTTATTATCTCTGAATTACTATACATTCTTGGGAAGGATAACGGAGTGGTTTCCCTTTTAGTTCTCCGCGGTTTGAAATTCAAAGTAGTTCTTCTCTTAGACTGGTTGCTAACAAAGACCAAACTAATCTGCTATTTAATTCTTACCTAGGAGGAGAAGAGACGGATTCATGACTTTTCTCAAATGCATTAGTACGAAAATAAACGCATCAGACAAGCCCAGAATTTGAGCTCGGATCGCCGGTTCCACTTTCCGCGTCGATGTCCGTTACATTAAACACACATCTTTCTGTGACATTATATCGGACATATATAAAAGATAAGTATTTGATTCAGTAAGTAATAATATAAATTCTGGCTTCGGTCGCAGAAATGAATAAGAGTAGGAAGACAAACCATTATCTGTCTTTGAAAATAATAAGAAATATATTTTTTGTGGTTTGACATTCAAATGGATTATCTATTTCGAAACAAGATTTGCAAACAAAGAAAGAAATGTCAGCTACACAATGCTTGTGGCTATTCCGGCAGATGGCAGAGGTAAACCGAACAAGGAAATATATCAAGGCCTTGTTCAGTATTTGTAAATATTGTGGAATATAGTGTAGGTCATAGAAGAAACTCGCGATCAATGTACGAATTTCACACCCAAAGAAGACCTGAATAATTTAGATCACAGAACTCTTGAAGTCGATGAGAATTCTGATGAAAGAATTGAGAATTAGAATGCTCTTATAATCACTTAATACTCGACAATAGCCACCAGAAACATATCGTGTAAATACTACTAGAAAATAATCAACTACCAGGTCAACATCTAAACAGACCGGATCCTTGAGGTTATAGGATATAAACTCTCCTATATTTTACGATCAATAAGTGAAGCACAAAACAAGAGACGCTTACAAATAAATCCTACTAAAATCAGTAGATACATATATTTGCATGTTGAAATTGAATGTTCTTTGTTGGTGCCATGAAGAGCTCAATATTTCAGTGTGACTTATTGCAACTGAATCTCATCGCGTTGTCATGGTAACGTGTGTCGAGGGTGATCGTTTTCACTGACCGTTTCGCAGATCTGTCCGCTGACTGTACTGTTTCAGATCTTGTCGCTGATTGTTGCGTTTCAAATCTGTTCGCTGACTGTTCTGTTTCAGGTATAGCTCATTGACTGTCGCAGACGAGCCGTTTTATGGCTTATGGCGAGTCGGTGACCGGCTCATGAAATCTATCTGCATTCTGCACTGGAATGTATTAGGTAACCCAATCCCTAACCTATTTCCAGGTCATCTGAAGTTCAACCGCACAGACGTCGTAGCTCATCACGTGACTTGTCATATCCAATCAGATTCCAGAAACTAATTATTTAATTTTGGAGCCGTGTTTTGTAGAGAATTTTAAAGTTTTGTTATTTACTGAATTTAGTGAGATTTATTTGAAGGCGTCTCTTACTTGTTTTGTGCTTCACTTATGGGCCGTAAAATATAGGAGTTTATATCCTATATTGCCACAAAACCCAGACATCACAGTCATAAAAAAATACCTATACACCGATGTGGCTGTTCCTGGTGATCATAATATCAAGGAAAAAAACCGACAAGCTTAAGAAGTACAACGATCTTCGAATTGGGGTTGCAAGAATGTGGGACATTTAGGCCCACTATTGTCTCAGTTATAAACGAAGCGTTGGGTGTATACCACCGAACTTAAAGTCTTACATTATGAAGATTGGAATAACGTCTAGTATCTCATCGCTTCGGAAGTCTATATTGCTTGGAACTTCAAATATTTTGTGAAACGTACTATCTGTTTGAAGGTCGTACGATTTGCTGACGAGTACTCATAATGCAAAAACTCCGGTTGAAAACAAAAAACTGTGGGGAAGAAGAGAACATATTATTATTAGTAATAATAATAATCATAACGACAATGAGATAATGAGAGTTGCTAATGGTATTGTTGTTGTGGTGGTGACGGTGGTTATCATGAATTAAAATAATCTCTGTTATTGTTGACATTTCAGAATTCAAGAATGTGGCACTAGTTGGGGTTCATATTGCTCCTGAAGACGCTTTCGAAGAGATGAAACATTTGCAGAAAGTGCGAGATAGTGTATCAAGAAAGCTACGCACAAGCAACATCATTTTAATGGGAGATATGAACGCTGATTGCAATTTCTTTCGAGAATCCAAGTGGCAGGAAGTTCCAATGCGCATGAGTTCGAATTATCTGTGGCCTATTTGCGATGACACAGATACAACAGTTAAATCAACCCATTGTGCTTACGATAGGTAAAAGCAGTCGTATTTATTATTCAGGTTTTTAGCTAGATACCTTCAATATTTGTAAAATATATATATATATATATATATATATATATATATATATATATATATATATATATATATATATATGTCATGAATGTTATGAATTCACTGTAGGTTACTCGGATTGACATACACATGATGAAGACCGGAAGGCACAACAACCGAAACGTGATAACAACAACAAAGATGAGGACAATTTTCTTACTAATTAATTTTTTTTACTAATTAATCAGAATTATTTAATTGAAATTTTTTAGGACGCCTTGTATTGTGTGGTTGTTAGCAGATTAACCTCACAAACCAATGTAAGTGTATTCGTTCCTCACTGGGTGCCTCGTGATATTGGTCTTGAGTTAAATAACTAATCATAATCATACAAATTTATTTATAAAAGAAGCTGTGATATGACTATAAAACAATTTAAGACTGATCACGTGAATAATTTCACAATCAATGATAATGTTCGCTTATTCCTATTTTCAACACATGAGAACGCAAAATACAGAAATTTCAAAGCAATTGTATAAGCGACAAGACAGACTCGAACACATGATTTAATCATTCAGTAGCTATTCCTGTATGTACAGTGACAGCATTTGTGTCTTTTACTGACACTCTAAGAATGTTTCATACTTGTTAGTATTTCTATAGATTTGCAATAAATGCGTTTTTTATTAATATCATTTTAAATAACAAAATGATGGCCGCATCAAAGTGTATGGAAAAAGTAAAACTCTTTGAGTATCAAAAAATGTACGAGGTTCGGTACCGAGATTATTAACAATATACGAGGTCAACTACAAAATAACTCGAGGCTACTATAAGTTGACCGGATACAAATGAAGACCAAATACAGCTGAGGTATGTCACTGAAAACAGTAAAATTGTTCGTAAGTCAGTATTGAAAAATGACTGATGAACTCAATAATTTAATAGTAAAATTGTTCGTAAGTCAGTATTGAAAAATGACTGATGAACTCAATAATTTAATAGTAAAATTGTTCGTAAGTCAGTATTGAAAAATGACTGATGAACTCAATAATTTAATAGTAAAATTGTTCGTAAGTCAGTATTGAAAAATGACTGATGAACTCAATAATAATAGTAAAATTGTTCGTAAGTCAGTATTGAAAAATGACTGATGAACTCAATAATTTAATAGTAAAATTGTTCGTAAGTCAGTATTGAAAAATGACTGATGAACTCAATAATTTAATATATCGAAGTTTTACAGCACAGAACAATTACTGACAATAAATTCTAGTTTGAAAATATCTGTTACAAAACTAACCTGTACCAAAACAAGTCTAGTATAAAACACACACATATTATATTCGGAAAATCAGATAAATGCAAACTTAATCTGTCTGCAAAGATTTAATTTACCTCTCAAGAAGTATAACAAGGCTGGAACGCAACGATATGATATAACAATCGAACACTGATGTAATATTTAACAAATGAAGTGAATTCCATCCTTAGGTAGTGCCCTGATCTTGTGCTAGATTTAACTAATTTTAGGAAATAACCCATGATAGTACAACAGCGATGGTTCTCCTAATACAATTGATATATTTTATTTGGCAGGTTCATTGTTGGAGGCAGAACATTGAGAAAAGCCTACATTCCTGGTTATGCAAAGGCTTATCGTTTCGATGATGCGTTTAGCTTGAGTCAAGAGGAGGTAATTAATATTTTTTAAATGATTTCTTTATTTTGTCTTTCTGTTTATCCGATATTATGAATGACATTTTCAATTGAAGCAATAATAATAGCTTCACTTTTTTAAAAATAAAATAATTCTAAAAAAGAAAGAAATCTTAATACTCCTATTATATTGAAGGCCGGAAGAGTAGAGTGAGGAAACAGTCAGTAAACCCACCTAACGAGATTGTGTAAATGGATAGCAGAACAGGGATTGGGAGGAATAGCAAGGAAGAGCGACGATCGTCAACGAATTGAAGGGACCCAGCACATGAGAGGAGGAGGAGGAGGAGAATAATAATAATAATAATTATTATTCTATTAATGAACACATCTGCTACCACATCCAGGGAAAATTATTTGTGTGACCAAAAGAGGGGAAAATGGTGACATTTGGAAAATTGTAAATTCTTGTTTTCATTAAAATGAAAACAAGAATTTGGTGGTCACTTTGAATACTGAATGAGCTATGGGAGCCTAATTTCCATAATCTAGAGTCGCTTCATGGAAGGGCCGTAAGCTTTCAAATAGTAAGATGAGATACAGCCTACGAGCTTATTGACATATTCTGAACTAAGCCGTAAAAATGAAACACTGGGTGAACATATGAACCTACCAGACAGTCATCTACAATTCCAACCCATACATTAATCATAAACTGATGCTGGTGTCTAGCCTGTATCGTACCTTGTGGATTTCGAATTTGTTATACCATCTCCAAATGTTGCCTCATCCGTAATCTGCTCAGTAGTAATAATCTGCATAACTTTGTTAACCATAGCTTTACGGTGTAACGGGGTTGATGTTGAGTTGTTAATGTAAGTTACACCGTGTTCATGTATTAGTAATTGATAGAGGATTCCATTTATCTTTTTTATACTGAAAATCAAATGAATAAAACATACAGCAATAACATACAAAAATAAGACTTTGAGACACGTTGAAATGAATGACAAAAATGTGTATTTTTCTTTTTGTGGTGCTATTTACAATATTGGTTTTGTGTGTGTTAAATGTTTGCGTGGTTATTCTCTCATTTTGGGCTTACTTGTTTATAATTGTTCCGACAATTCCTTGGTTGGGGGAAGCTTTTGAAACCATTAATTCCGGATTTTCAAGGAGCGAAGAAGATACATCTTGTCTAGTCTGTGTTGTTCTTTTTATTACTGCTACTCCGTTTGTGGTGAAAAGGTTGTTTTTTAGAATGATGAAATTTTAGATCTTTATTTTTAGAACGATGAAATATCATCATCATCATGAATCATAACAACGACACGGTATTACAATCAGAGAACAGTAACAAGCAAAAAACGACAGTGTCGTGACTAATACTTAATATTTCAGACTTAAAGAAAATCTTTGCAATTTGTTCTCTTATTTACATTGTTCGAACTGTTGTCCTCATCTTTCAGCCGTTCTACGCTCCGGTCTTCACGTGATATACATTTATATACTGAATACTTTATTTCGTTCACTGGATTAGATTGTTCTAGTTCTACGTGCCGTGTCTTTTTTGGATATCTCAGTTGCAGTTATTTCGCTTTAGTAACTCAACTCGCCACGTTTTTGTTCAGGTATTGAACTCACAATTTTGGGGACTTATAAACGTAATGTCTCGGTAACCATTGTTGTTTTCCCCTGCCACTCTCTATTACTGGCTCCCATGTTGTAATACAGTGTGTTAGAGAAAAACAACAATAACAACAAATTGTGGTATGAGCTCTGGTACAAAATAATTACAATACCTCATCTCAGCAATATAGACAGATATTGTTCTCTTATCCTGTTGATTTTTGTGAATGAAATCATCTATTATTTTCAACCATTTTTTTTCAGGCTCTTAAAGTGAGTGACCATTACCCAGTTGAAATTTCATTTAAAGAAGACTGCGCTGCTAGAAGGACAGAAGGAGGCAACATCATTGGATAACATATCCCATATTACAAATTCTGAAGGTCACGAATGCATCGATTCGTAATCTTATTAAATAATCATCCTCTTCTTTTGAAAAAAAAAATGAACGCAAACATGAATATAAAAAAATCTTAATTATTAATTAAATAATTTTCAGGTCAAATTTCTCATGTACTTTCTTTTATTTACGAATTCTTTAAAGGGCTTGACCCTCAACTGTTATATTCATTCATTTATTCAGATAGCGCATTTTCCGTCGCTGTGGTCACCATTTCCCACATCTCACAATTGTGGTTCATGCTGACATTTAAGGTAGAATAGTGCAATGGCGTGACGCTGTTATATTATTCGACAAGGAATACTAATGTAATAATGAGAAAAAAAGATTTATATCTATTTTATTTTCAAATATATCTATGAGTGCGTGACTCAGTAGTTAGAACATTCGAGTTTCATAAAAGCCGGGTTAAATTCTCACTGTGGTCGATTTGGTAAGGAGGTGACTTATTATCAAGAAGTACGTAGGGTGATAAATCACAGCGTGCGACACTGTTGGGAAGTGTCTAATTATGCGCTGTCTTCCAGAAAAGTAATTACAGTCCCCTCAGCATAGTTGCAGTAGGCTCTGTTGAAGAAATGCTAATATTCACGGACAGATGTGTACGACGGGGATTGGTTAGTCACTTTTAGTAGAAGGTATCATCGGAAAGGAAGTGTTATTATTATTATTACTGATTGAGAGGGCAACATGCCAAAATGACGCATGATTATAAATATACGTAGCTAAATGTACCCATCATAACATCCAATCTGATAAGAGTATACTAGGTACATGCATCACAGCCAAATGTTTGTGATATGGTGATAGGCCTTGATAAAAGCAGCGTATAATCTTGCAGGTGGGGACTAATTAGAAATACTACCAAGTCGGGTAACTCAGACCTTCAACCATGACGCTCCCCAACTACTTCCAATTTTTTAAAAAGCATTTCAACCCAAGCAAGACAATAAAGCCACTGAGTGCTAGAGAATATATAAAAAAAAACAACTATCAAGGAGAGTGAACAATAAAAGAACAAGAATTAAGAAGGCAGAAAATAACGATTGACATTGCATTTAAATTTTTGAAAACCAAAGTTGACTGGGAAGCAAGAAGCCGGGAGAGAGTTGCGCAAGCCTGAAGTGCGATAGAACTGTTAGTATAGAACTTACGAGTTTAGACAATATGAGAAAAATATACGATCAAGGAGATAGGACAATAAAAGAACTGGAATTAAGAAGACAGAAGATAACGACTGACATTGCATTTAAATTTTTGAAGACCAAACTTGACTGGGAAGCAAGAAACCGGGAGAGAATTCGAAAAGCGAGAAGTGTGATAAAAGAAACTGTTAGCATAGAATTAAGGTTACATTTAACCATTTCAACTGTAAAATAATGAGACCTTGCCGCCAATCTAGTACTGCGATTAAATTCATAAAGTCTAGGTAATATAGCGGAAAGCTAATCAGGAAAATTACCATGAAAGTATTTATAGGAAAAGCACAGGGAAGCTACGTTACGGCGGTGGGAAGGGACTGAAGTCGAGATGTCAGATCAGAACCAATAACATTGCAGATTTTTCTTTGGATTTTATAAAAAATCTCTAAATATATAGCAGGAACGCCACACTAGGTGGGGCAGCAATATTTAAAGCAAGGACGAATGGTAGACTTATAAATATGTAAGATAGATTCTGGAGAGAAAAAATATCTAGCACGACATAGTGAACCAACTTTCTTAGCTGCAAACTTAGCAATTGATTCAATATACTCTTTTCACTTCATGTCAGCTGAAAATGTTAGTCCGAGAAGACGCAATGAGTCATTCTCCTGGAGGTTAGCGTCAGCCATAATGATGGAAGGTAAAAAGGGCTCTCTCAGATGATTAAAAGAGAGTAGTTTCGTTTTTGAAGCGTTAAAATCAAAGCCACTCTTATCTAAAGCTTGATTGACTCTTTTAGCAATAACCGTTAACTTATCAGTAGTTGGTCTAGAAAAAACGCAAGTCATATTGCTTATCTGAAAGAAGTCTCTGCGATGTGAGATGCTTAACCAGTTCAGAATTAATTAGAACCCTTAGTACTTTGGCAAAAAGAGATAGAAGGCTAATAGGCTGATAATTAAATGGTTCAAATGGTTCGCTTGATTTCTTAAAGACTGCAATTACGGAAGAGGATTTTCAACAAGCCGGGATGCAAGAAGCAGTGAGGTATTTATTGGAGAGTTTAGAGAAAACAGGAAACAGTTCAGGAGCACATTTCTTAAGGACTATTGCAGGGATATCATCAAGTCTATATGCTTTGTGAGAATCCAGTTTAGAAAAGATAGCAGAAACATATGAAGAAAAATGTACAATGTTTCACCTCCTAGGAAATATGTTCAGTTAGTTAAAATCAGGCAACTGTTAAGCAAATCTTCTGTACTGAGGCCCATCTTAATCCACCAAGACAAAATTTGTACATATTAACACACCAGTCAATATGAAGTCACGAGAGCTATGTCTGCTATATTTATTTATTTTGAGATTTCAATTTTAAGATCCTTGTATTTTAATAGTTTTATGAAGATCTTCAAAGATTCATTACAATCTGCAGGAACTGCCATGTCAATAAGAAAGCACATTCTGTTTTTGTGGTCTTTGATTACGATGTTTGGGCTTTGGTTGTCTATGTCTGTGTGTATTGTAAAGTCCCATAAATTTGTTACAGGTTCTATCTCTGTAACCGGGTCTTGGTGATGTTCATACCAGTTTCTTGCAGTTTCTTCCCGTAAAAGTTGCATATTTTCCAGTTCAGATATTGGCCCACTCTATCATGCCGAGATTAAAATTCAGTGGCTCCTTACACCGTGCAACCTGATACAAGATGATCAATTGTTTCTGGATATTTATCACAGAATCTGCATTTCGGGTTAATACAATTGTTCACTATGTGTTCTTGGGTAATTTCTAGTTAGCAAGCGTTGGCCCTGTGCAGCAAAAATAAGACCTTTGATTCCAGCTTTTAACCCTGCACTACCTAACCATTGATGGTTACGGTGTTTGGCTCCATCACCATGTTTGGTACGGGCAGAGTATTGACCAAAAGAGGCTTATCTTGCTATCATTTTGCATTTGGAACATTGCATTTATATTTTCTTTCTTTTGTTTTAGGTTGTTGTTGTTGTTGTTGTTGTTGTTGTTCTTCTTCTTCTTCTTCTTCTTCTTCTTCTTCTTATTATTATTATTATTATTATTATTATTATTATTATCACCTCTTGAGATTTCATAATGTAATAAAGAAACAAAATTAAACTGCATGTACAATATTTGAAATTCACATGAGATAACAGTTATTGCTTTTGATCCTATTCTATAGATTATTAAAAGTTCTAACTTTGAATTTACTCTGAATTAGTAAAGTCTGGTACAGGAACTATTTTATGGAGTTCCAGTTCTCTAACAAGACATGAGAGACCAATACCTCTTTTGTTTTACTAGATGCTTTAAAAACATGGAACTAACATCATAGAAATAGATTGTGTTCATAAAAATAACTGTTACGAAAAAACTATCTTGTTTCTTACAATGAACAGTGATGAACGAAAGAAGTGACATTTAAAAAAAACGAAAGCAAAAAAAAAAAAATCAATTTCTTTAAGAAACTGTAAATATTCGACAATATGTACTTCTAAAAGTAGCATCTGTGGTCATTCTAAACGGTAGAGGAAGTTGTCGAATTCACATCGATATGAGATTTAACTGAACAGCCACTCGAACGGAATGTGGCACAAGGCCAAGTTTAAGATAGTGGGGCCAGTATTCACATTGATACAGTAGGAGTGATATAAATCTGAATACTCATCTGAAAAAAAATATTGCATTTAGATGTTTTGAACCATTTTACCTACGTTTGTAATAAACATCTTCACAGATTACAATACGCATGTAAAGTTTTCATGTTAAATTGGCCAATCACAGATTATATAAACTTTGGCGTATTCAACTTTATTTATTGAGTAAAAACAGGGGAGAATTTTTTTTTTAATTTTTGTATATTAACATTTATTAAACCTTATTCTACCCATGACATTTGTCAAAACCGAAAGATATTGATTTTATCACTTGAGATTAGTAAATAAAAAAGAACAAAATACAGATAGCTTTATGAAATCAGGAATCAATTTTACATTGTACTTATATTACGAACAAGACACTCCTAAAATGATATTTGTTTTACTTCGACATATATCTTGATTAAACGGATGGTTTAATAGCCATGGGAGAGAGACCCCTGGTGAAGGGTTAAGGAACTAAAGGAGGAGCTAACTTCGACACCTTGTTTTGTTTACGTCGTTCCAAAATTTTAAACCTGACATAGTGCAAAACTCTCATATAAAATCTTTCTAATAGCAGCAAGGACTTAATGAAATATGCAGTAATTTTTTATGGTAGAATAAACTACTAGTATTAATATAAGATTCTATTGGATTTAAAATGGGATTCGATTTTCGTTTGTTGTTAAATAATAAACAAATCCCCCACCCAGAATTAATGCATATTAATATATTTATTGGAAAACAATATATTTAAAAATGAAATTAACGGAAAATTTTAACATGTTTTATAATAAATTAATCAATCGATAATTAGTATTATTTTTTAAACCAGTAAAACAAAAAATTCGTAATATTGAAGAAAATTTAACAAGTGACTGAGTACAGGCAGTTCTTGTGTTGTGAGCTTTTTTGTAATTATTATTATTATCATTATTATTATTTCATGATGCAATAAATAAGCAAAATAAAACAACATATATATGAAATTCCCTTTAGATAATTGTTATTGTTTTTATCCTTATTTATACACGTGTTATTATGAGTTCTGAATTTAATCGAGTGAACCGAATTTTGCACAGTATGTCAGCCGCTAATTCAGTTTTCCTAGTTTTTATATTCTCTTATCTTCTTCTTTATAGGTCGTGTCCACTCAGGACG